ATGGCACAGTATTGCCATGACTTTGCTTTTAGGAGATAAAAATAATGAAGTATTTAGGGATGAAATGTCTTGATGTCTTCTGTAACTATTTTCAATTGTTCAGAACAGAAAATACAGAAAGGGTGAATGGTGGCAAAAAAAACCCAACCCTATTAAATGGTGAAGATAGACAAACACTATACAGGTGTTCAGGATATTACTCTTTAAACATTTTACTGCAACTGGATGAAAAGCAGGAATATTAAACACATCATTAAGTTAAAAATCAGATAAAATTCTTTATTTTATATATACCCACATATAGATCCTCTGAAGAGGCAACCATTGCCTGAAACTGAGGAAAATTTTCCCAAAAAGGAGCCAGTCTTTCCCCACTCCCAGCTCTGTAATTTCTTTTTATTTATTTACTTACTTATTTAATTTGGGGGGGCGGGTACTGGGGTTGGAACTTGCAGCAGGTGGTGAAACCACTGAGTTAAATCCCCGGCCTGGCTCTGTAATTTCTAAGAGGCAGCCTCACTACAACCTGAAGTTTCATACACTTATACATAAGTGATGTTAACCTACAGTGGGAACTAAAGTGTGAGACAGGAATTCTGGTGCAAACACAAAATGAATGATTATGAAGTGAACAATAAAAGTTCAACTGGCAAAGCAAAATGAATGTCAGTGGAAAACAGAAGAAATACTTCTGCTAAAAGAATCCAAAGGCCAAAAAGTAATAAATGTACCCTTAAATAAAAAAACATTTTGGATCTTTAACTGGCAGACAAATGTCAGTGTTTCACATTCTATTGTAAGAGGGAAGATATTTAAGTCATTAATTTATTTTCTTTTTGTTCTAGAAAGCAAATTATAACTCACAAATAAAGAAAAGGCCTCTAACTGGAAATTTAAAACATTTTAAATGAACTTCGGTGAGACTACTTAATTTGTTTTTTAAAAAAATAAACTTCCACAGACAGGACTTCTCTCCTATCTCTAATATCTGATACTTACCCTAAACTGTTCTGACACATGGAGGTTTTTTTGGTTTTTTTTTTTGGTACCGGGCATCGAACTCAGGTCCTGGCGCTTGCACAGCAGGCGGTGAAACCACTGAGCTAAATCCCCAGCCCTGCCACATGAAGTTTTACTCAGAGCTATACAAAGTAACATGCCATGGCACAAATATCTCTTTAATTAAAAAAAAATTTAAGTTTAAAAGCCAAATTTGAGTTCATTTGTTAACTGAAACAAAACCAGTCTGCATACTAATAATCCAAATTGAATATCTATGTGTAATAAAAGCATGTATTTCATGTACAGCTTTTTTTTTTTTTTTAAAGTACAACTACAGACAAACTAAAGACAAGGGTTTCTCATTCAACTCAATTTTATAAGCAATGCAAAAGCTTTCAAAAGCGACAGTCACACAATAGCATAATTACTTCTAAAATTGCACTTTTAATTTTGCTGTTATCACTTGAGTTCTATATTTGAACATATATTCAGGCCTGTACTTCTTTTATAATCATGTGGCTATTTTAAGTCCGTAGACCAACACAACACTCTTGTTTGTCAAATTTAGAACGCATCTAGTAAACATTGCTTGTATTTGCCAAATTCAGTGAATAGAAAAGAAACTTCTAACAATTTTTAACAAGAAAACCATACCTTCTTACATAGGGTGATGATTATAATTTCTAAATGGTGGTTAATATTTAAGTGAAATTTGAAAATCTTTGTCTTAATAAGGCTAGAGAGAAGAAAAAAGGACAAACAAAAATGTGGCAACATGACATTTAACAATTTTCTATTTTAATTGTCTAGCACCGACAAAGATAACAATGGCTTATGGAATAGTATGGCTCCAGGGGCCTCCCTCCCACTCCTTTTCTTTAACTATCACTTTGAGTAGAGTCATTCTGGTATATGGTACGGCTAGTGAAGCCAAAGGTACGTGAATCCTGGCTTAGACACACACTGGTAATGAGGCCCTGAACAAGTTACTAAATATTCCTGAACCTAATTTACTTTATTGTCCGGAGCAATGCTACATAATTTTAGGGAAAAATTATTTGGTTAGCCTAGTTCTCCTGCCTACAGCCCAGCTATGGAATTTCGAGACATAATTCCATTTTGGCCTCCAGTCACAACTGAGACCTCAATGATCCGGTGATGCTGTCTGATTCTCCAAGACAAGAAACACCCTGGGAGGAACAAACATCTACTCAGTTCCTCCTTGTTCTTGGATTGTTACATCTTGTTTACCCGGATGTACTGAACTCTCTGCAAGTCATTTGTTACATCTGTTTCTCCCGATGTGCGGTAAACTGGGGGCTTTCGTCTTTGCCGCCCAGAGCAGCACTGATCAGACCCAAAGCTCAGCTTCTTCTCAGTCTCATTTTTCTACCTTTCCTGTAATTCGCTGTGTGCTGCCGTGGCTCGCAGGAGACCAGGACTCACCGCAGAGGTTCTGGTAACATCCCCTTCCCCTGTTCCCTACACTTTATCTGTAAAGCAGATCTACCACTGACATCACAAGGATGTTAGTAGGATTACATGAGACAACATACTACATGTAGTACTAAGCCCAGCCCAAACCAGATCTTAGTTTCTTTTCTTCCTTTGACCCAAGGCTTTTGTTTTGTTTTTTTGGTACGGGGGATTGAACTTGGGTCTTTGAGTGACCCAAGGCTTTTGAGGAATCCCTAGAAGTACTCTCTGAACTTGGAAATGTTGACATGTGCTGTAAATTCTTGGCCTTATTCCACTGTCACTTGAAAGTATTCACACAACTGGACATTTCAGGTGTCTGTTTAGGATGAGTTTTCAAGACTGTGATTCATCTCATTTCTAATCACTGTCATGACCCAACCCAGCAACACCATGTACCCCAGCAAGGTCACCACACCCTCTCAATGATGAGACAAACTTCAATTCCAGCCTCACCGGCAGAGCATTTTCAACTTATCTGTGCAGGATTTGTTTCAGGACAGGATTAGACAACTACATCAAAATATTGCCACTCTCTCTCCAAGTAGGAGTTTTAATTATCCAAAGTGATCCCCCTTCCTTCAATTGTGATCAACAGATGAATCCCAGAACACTTTGTGGTAGGAAGCAGTCAAACAGTATATCCACTCTTTAACAGGGTAAACACATCACCCAGATCCATAACCTCTCTTTTGTTTCAGATACCTGAAAACCCAGGGCCTACATGACACAAAGTTTAGGTAAAACTGATAGAGGAGGCCAGAACTGCCAGCAAGGTGCTGCACACCGGTAACTCCAGTTACTTGGGAGGCCAAGGCAGGAGGATGACAAATTCAAGGTCAGCCTGGGCAGGTTGTCTGTTTCGTTTTGGCACTACTGTGAATTGAATCCAGAGCCTTCATGATGAGCTGCGTTCCCAGCCCTTTTTTGACTCATATTGATACAGGGTCTTGGTTAAGTCACTAAATTGCCCAGGATGGGCCTGAACTTGTGATCCTCCTGCTTCAGCCTCCCAGAGTGCTGGGATGACAGGTGTGCATCACCACACCATGCTATATCCTGGACAATGTGTCACGACCCTGTCACAAATAGAAATTTTAAAGGGCCAGGGGCGGGGGGGGGGAGAAGATTAAGTGGCCAAGTGACCCTGAGGCTGGGGAAAGAAAAAAAAAAAAAGGAGACAGAACTGAGATCATTTTGGTAATTTCATCAATGAGTTGAAGTAGTCAGAAGGCTCCAAAGTTATAAGAACAGATGGCTTGCCAGACATGGTGGCACATGCCTGTAATCTCAACATTTCAGAGACTGCAGCAGGAGGATGGAGAGTTCAAGGCCAGACTGGAATATATAGTGGATTCCTGAGCAGCCTGAACTTAGAACCCAGAGACCCTGTCTAAAAAACCCCAAGAACAGATGGCTTTATCACCAAAGATTCTAAGCTACAATTTATTAAGTACCTACCATGTTCCCAACAGCGCTGTAAGTACCATTATGGAGCCAGAAACAAATAAATCTGACACTATTCTGCCCCTTAAGTCTGGGGTTAGGGAGAATGAGTGGGAGAGGAAAGGACGACAGGTATGCACAGAATGCCCAGAAACAGTTTAACAGCTAGTATTTATTGAACATCAACCTAAGACTGGGAACTATTCTAAGCAATTTATGCAAATAAGCTTAACTGATCCTGAGAAAACCCTAAGAATGCTCTTATTGCAGATGAGGAAACAGAGGCACAGAGAAGCACTCTTGCCAGGGTTGCCCAACAAAGGAGCAGGGAAGGGATAGAAACTCGCGATTTTCCACCAAGCGAACTGGAGCGCAGAGGACAGAAATTTGACTTCGGGTGAAGACAGTGGGGAATCGTAAGGAACTCGTGGGAAGGCTTTTCTCGAGTTGGGGGTTCCCATCAACTGCAGGATTGTGGGCTGCCTTTAGACAGGAGGCAAACGCTCCATGGGGGCCTTCTGTATTCAGGGACCTATTGTAAATAAAGAGATGCACGGTTCCTTGTGAGGATCCGTTAGGGAGAGATCGTCGATAGACGTCCACAGTAAAGGTGCAGACAGGAATACGGGGCGCCGGCGCTGTTAATTCTGGCATCAGAAGTGGCAGGGAACTCGAAAATCTCGAGAAGTGAACGATCTGTACGTGCAGCAATCCCAGGAGCTCGGGGTATACAAGAACGGGGATCCCGGCCCCCTCTGAGGCCCGAGTCACCCCTCAACCTGTGGCCCCCCGCGGCCTAGGTCCCCGGTTCCCCGCCCCCGCACACCCAAGACCGGTGTGAGATTGGGACAGTGGAGGCCAACAGAGCCAGACACTCGCCTGAGCTGCCCTTTACCTGAGGTCGGGGCGGTCTGGAGGGGCTCGCAGCGGAGAATTCGCGGACTCTGGTCAGTCGACGCGAATAGGCTCCAGCGGGCGCGGGCGGAGGACGGCGGCCGGGAGGGAGCGGCTGACAGATCCCGGAAGTAGCCAGGGCGCCTGCGCAGCGCGGCGGCGCGGATGGTCTGCGCACGCGCACAGCTGGGGCGCGCGGCTGGAGCCTGGGTTAGAGTTGTTAGTGAAGAGTGGACGCGTGGCTGTCTGCGGTCACCCTCAGAGGTGGCGCGAGAAGGAACGTGGACGTCTTCCCTCGTAACGTGTCCGCAGGATGATGGGCTCAAATGAGGGGCCTTCTCTTCTCAAGCGCTTTTTCAGGAGTTGAATTAGTTACTAAGGATTGGGGGTCTTTCGAGCCGCGCAGACCGGGCGAACGACTGCATTTTGGTCCCTTTAGAAACTCCGAGTCAGAGCCAGTCGACTTCTTCGTGGTTTCGTCCCCCCCACCCCACCCCGTTCTCCCGCTGAGGAAAACGGGAGCAGCCCCGACCCTGCCTCAGTTCTCTGCACCCGAGATGGCGCCAAAGGAAAGAACAGTCGGGACCCAGCAAGCTCCTGCGAAGCATGTGACGGAGGCCCACTTCCAGCTGGACTGCTGCCCTCCAACCTGGAGGAATAAATTTTGAAGCAGCAGCTCTGCCCCCCTGTAGGTCGCTTGTTAGTGCTTGTTTTTCCCTCTGGTGGTTTACTTGACCCCATGCTGTTTTCTTTCATGTTAAATTCGGTTGTTCCTGGAGCACTAACGCATTGGAACCCCTTAGTTTTTATTTTGTCTTTGGTCACAGGGGAAAAAGGACAGATAGAAGATTGTTGTAAACTACCCCACTCCAAGAGGCAGTTTGGCAAAGGAAGGACAGCATTCTTAGACAGCAAGGACTCCTGTGTCTGCAGGTTACAAATCCCCAAGTATGTAGTCAATATTTGAGTTAAGATGTCAAGGGGCCTTTGATTAGACTCCACTCCTTTACCGAGGATCGTTCCTTTGAAGGAATTTACAAATTAGGTGAGGGTAACACAAATTAGTACCAGACTATGATAAATGACAAGAAATTATCTCTAGGGGAAAAAAAGAAACAGGTCTTCGATTTTTCTTTTTTTAAAAATGCTCTCAGGTTGGCCTTGAACTCGTGGCAATCCTCCTGCTTCAGCCTCCCCAGTGTTGGGATTACAGGCATGTCTCACCACACCCCTGCCTCTAATTGTTATCCCTGATTGTCTTTTCAGTCAGTGTTTTGTATGTTAGCCGAAGCAAAGGTTACCATTTGATGCCTTTTCATTTCGTATTTTTCTTAGCTTAATTGAGGCTTTTTAAATAAAACTGCCTTATTTTATAACTAAGGAAACAAGACCATTGTATTTTGAGACTTGAAGGTTTTGGCACAGTTTAAGGGCAGGGCTAGGCTTTGCCAGTATATCATAGTTGGTAGGAGCCATTGGTGGTCCCATGAAAGAGGTGAATTATAGTTTGCTTTTCAGACTTGTGTAATGATACTGATTTAGTATCTAAAAAGAAGAACCTGCCTTTAACAATATTAGAATGAGGAACCGTGGTTGTATTAGGCTGTCAGTGTAACAAAACCTGAGATAATTAACTTATAAAGAGAAAAGGTTGGGCCGGGGATTTAGCTCAGTGGTGCTGCCGCCTGCCTCACAAGTGCAAGGTGTCTTGAGTTTGATCCTTGGTACCAAAAAAAAGAAAAGAAAAGGTTTACTGTGGCTCACTGTTTTGGATGTTCCAGTCCAAGATTGGATGAAGCCATTGCTTTGGGACTGTGGTATATATGCTACATAGTAATGGTAAGGAATGCCAGGTGTAGCAAACTGCTTGCCTCACAGCCAGGAAGCAAAATGGAAATTGGAAGAGGCTGGGGTCCCACAATTCCCTTCCAGGACATGACCCTGTGGACCTCTCACTAGGTCCCACCTCTTAAAGGTGCCACCACCTTCCAATAGTAACATCCTGGGGACGAAGACTAACACAAGAGCCTTTGGAGGACATTAAGCATGCAGACTATTTAGAGGTGGAGAAAGAGGAAGAGGGGTTGGACATTGCTATAGAATCATTTTGTTTGGTTCACCAATTGGATTAGAATTGGAATTGGAGCCAGGCATGGTGGTGCACGCCTGTAATCCCAGCACTGGGAAGGCTGGGGCAAGAGAATTGCCACAAGTTCAAGGCTAACCTGGACTACATAGAGAGTTCAAGGCCAGCCTGAACTACAAAGTGAGGCCCTGCTGAAAAAAAAAATTGGAATTAGATTGAATTGGAATTTGGTTAAGATTCAAGTCATCAGGTACTTAATAAGTCCCAAATGGCAAGTACAGAAGCTCTTTGATTTACAATAGGGATTGCTGGCAGGTAATCTCGTCATAAATTGAAAGTGTCAAAATAAAAGGTGCAAGTATACCTAACCTACCAAGCATCCTAGTTTAGCAACACAGTACATTGTATAGTATTGTGATGACATGGCTGACTGGGAGCTGCAGCTCATTGCTGCTTGTCAGCTTTGAAAGAGAAGATCAGACTGCACTTCACTAGCCTTGATTAAAGTTTGAAATACGGTTTCTACTGAATTTATATCACTTGCAACATCATAAAGTTGAAAAATCATAAGTTGAACCATTGTAATGTGGGGACTTCCTTATTTTGTCACAGATGAATAAATAAATGTCAATATGGCTAGGCTGTGGAGTGCTTAGATACAAGAATTGGGTCAAATATTATTTCTGGTGTTTTTGAGGGTACACTTGAATGAGATTGACTTATAAACGAGTAGACTAAGTAAAGCAGATTGCTTTTCCTGGTTGAATTGGGCCTTGTCTAACCAGTTGAAGGCTTAAATAAAACAAATGGCTGTTATTCTTTCAAATAAGATAATTCTCTTGCCTGCTCAACTGGAACATCAGCTCTTTCTTGTTCTACAGAACCTTCTAGTCTTCAGATTTGCACATTGACTGTGGATTTTGGACTTGGCAGCCTCCATAATGATGTGAGCCAAATCTTTATCTTTTTATATATCTTTTATCTCCTATTAGTTTAGTTTCTGTCAAGAAATGCTTACTACAGTAACCATTGTTATGATTTGGATTTGAAATGTTCTCCAAAACTCATATGCTAAACACTTGGTTGCCAGCTGATGGGCTTTTTGGGAAGTGATTGGAAAATTAAGGCTCTAATGTCATCAAATGGATTCATCCATTGATAAGACCGTAATTTGATGGTATTATTGGGAGGTGATGGAAATAGGAGATGAGACCTACTCAAAGGGAGTGGATCATAGGGACTGTGTGTTGTCCCCAGCCCCCATCCTCTCTGATTCTCTCACCCTTTCTGCTTGCTAGCTCCCATGAGATGAGCAGCTTTCCTCTGCCATGCCCTTCTGCCATGATTCTACCCCACTGTAGGCCTAAAGCAATGGGGCCAGTTGACTGGACTAAAACTTGTGAAACTGTGAGCCCAAATAAACCTCTCTTTTTAAGTTGTTATTCTCAGGTATTTTGTCATAGCAGTGGAAAGTTGACTGACATATGCATTTACCAAGTCTCCATACCCTTGGAGGGCTCTGGACTCCAACTTTTGTCTCTGTATAAGAGGCTGTTAAAAGTATTGCTTAGGGGCTGGGGATTTAGCTCAGTGTTTCCAGCACCGGCCTTATAAGCGCAAGGTCCCGAGTTTGATCCCCAGTACCAAAAAATAAAAATATTGCTTAGGCCCTCAAACACCTATTCTAGAATCAGTAAGGTAAGTGTGGTGATGCACTTCTGAAGTCTCAGCTACTTGGGAGGCTGAGACAGGGGGATCTCTTGAGCCCAGGAGTTCAAAACCAGCCTGGGCAACATAGGAAGACCCCCTCAAAGGAAAGAAAGAAAACAAAGCAGTGGAATCAGTAAGTGGTCTATGGGATAAAGCAGTCCTAAGTCCTGGGCTCACTCTCTTGTGTTCTCTTTGCTCTTGGATGTTATACTACATTATTAACTCTCTTTTGTATTTGAGTATACATTTTGCATATTTTGTCCACTTTGCTAATTATCATTTGTGGCAGGGTTGTCTGTTACCCTAGTTCTCCATTATCAGAATCATTCATCAAGTAACCACTTTTTTTTTTTTCCTCGGTACTGGGGATTGAACTCAGGACCTTGCGTTTGCAAGGCAGGCGCGTTGCCACTAAGCTAAATCCTCAGCCGGACCACTTTTTAGTATTACCTTGTATGTTTTAGTTCATTAAATCCTATTGCTTCTGGACTGAACTTATTGTCCTGCCTCAGTCTCCCAAGTAGTTGGGACTATGGCATCCCATTATGCAGTTATATATCTTTGACACATACTGTATTGCGTTGTCTGCTTTATGGTATATGCTTGTTGCAGGTTACAGGGAATATTTATTTCTCACCCAGAGTGCATATCATCATGTACTACTCACAAATGTAGTCACTGCGGAGTTCATTAAATGTTGAAATAATTGGGTAATTAGCGTTGAAATATTTATACAGAACTGTAAGGGTTTTTTTTTTTTAGGTCTTTAAACGAGTTTTAGGGATATGTGGAGAATTGGCTGTAAGGTTTTTGGACAGGATGGGAAAGCATTCTTTGTTTTGTTTATTTTTGGGGGACAGGGTCTCACTGTATAATTTAGGCTGGCTTTAAACTCACTATGTAGCCCAGGCTGGCCTCAAACTCATGGCGGTCCTCCTGCCTCTGCATCCCAAGTGCTGGGATTACAAGTGTGTGCCACCACGCCCAGCAGGATGGGAATACATTCTTATTTTCTCACTTAGAATGATACACTATAGGTTCCTGTGACCTGAGAGTTGTTTTCAGGAATGTGTTAACCTGGGATGGCTGCAGTTCCTTTTTTTGCCCTCCTTTCCTGCTTTCTTTCCTTCCATCATTCCTTCCTTCTTTTCTTCTTTTTTTGCAGGGTACTGGGGATTGCACTGGGTTACATTTCCAGCCCTTTTTTATTTTAGAGACAGGATCTTGTTACATCACTAAGTTGCCCATGTTGGGCTCAAACTTGGGGTCCTGCTTCAGCCTCCCAGAGTGCTGGGATTACAGGCATGTGTGTCACATTCAGCTGTAGTTCTAATTATAGCATGTAGCATACTTCTGTTTTGTATTGCTGTGTTTGTGGGCTTCTTAACTATATCACATTCTAAGATGAAGATACTGGCAAAAATCTATAATCCCACACCCAGAGAGAAGTTAATCAGTGTGAGAGTATTTATAGGGACAAATTTAAAATGATAAGAGAATTACAAGTCTAATGATCATTTCTGTTAGAATACAGAAAGAAATAGCTGGTTTGTTCATGATGATAACAATTCTTGTTTGATTCATGCTTCTGGACCCGAACCTTAGATTCTGGTAACCCCAAGATTCTGCCTTGCTCTATATATACACCCTCCAAGTGATCTCATACACCCTTGCCTTCCATTCCCCAAACCCCTCATACTTTGCTGTTCCTCAGAGGTATATCTCACTTAAACCCTGACAATCCCCCCCCGCCCCGCCTCCCCCCCCGTACCAGGGATCAAACTCAAGACCTTGTACTTGCAAGACGGGCGACGGAACCACTGAGCTAAATCCCTGGCCCTAACCCCTGATAATTCTGACTGCTACTGAAATAATCTACCTGGTATCTCATTCACTGCAACTCAATGCACATAAAACCTGTTACTCTACTCCCTTTTGCAGATTCTACTCTTCTCTCTACTTCTCAGTTAAAGGCATCCCGTCTACCCTAGACTGATTAATGCTCCTGGCAATTAGTTGCCAGGTCATGTCACATCTACTTCTTATATATTTGTTTTGTTTTTCCCATAAAAACTTTTATAACCTTTTTTTTTTTGGTACCAGGGATCCAACCCAGGCCCTTGGGCTTGCAAGGCAGGCAGCGGCACCACTGAGCTAATTCCTTGGCCTTTCCCATAAAAACTTTTAAATCAAGCTGGGGCAGCGCGGCATGGGAACTGGACGGGCCGCTCCTCGCCCAGAGCCCCGCCCAGAGCCCCGCCCGGTTTTCAAGCTAAGGGCAGGCTCCGAGCCCCCGCCGCCCCCCCCCCCCGGCAGGCGAAGCCTGCGGCGTAAGATGCCACCTCATAGAGGAGCACAAGAAGTTACTCTTATTATCAGTGGCTTTATAATATTTGTGAAAAAAATTAACTGCATTTCTGATTCATGGAGCATCGAAGAAACCACAGAAGATGAGAGAATTTATAAATGGCACAGGTTTGAACAGTTTTGAAGACTGAAATTTTGTGAACTTGTAAAACAGGTTTGCGTAGATGAAGATACCACCTGAGAACTTGAAACTATAGAGTCTGCCATCACTCACCTTCAAGTTAAAGTTTACACCATGGTCTAAAAAACTCGAAGCCACAAAATTAAAACTCGGCCCTAGTTAGTAATGTGCCTGAATGGTTTGACAAAAAAGACCTGCTTGAAATATGGTTTCAGCAAGGCCTCAGTTTCCTTCCTATAGCCCTTGTAATTTGGACAGCTGCTACTTTCACATTCTCATACATTATTGCAGTAACACTCCACCATATTGACCGTGCTTTGCCTTCTATCAGTGACATTGGAACGATGGCTCCAGAAAAGTGCTTGTTTGAGGTGATGCTAAATATTGCTGCATTTTAATGCCTTGCTACCATTTATGGTTTTTTTTAGTACTGGGGATCGAACTCTGGTCCTTGCGCTTGTGCAGCAGGTGGCAAAACCACTGAGCTAAATCCCTGGACCCCATTTATGTTATAAGCAAGTTCGTGCCCTGAATTCTGAAGAGAACCTTATCATCAAATTAAACAAGGCTGGCCTTGTATTTGGAATATTGAGTTGTTTAGGAGCTTCTCTTGTGGCAAATTTCCAGAAAACAGCCCTTTTTGTTGTACATGTCAGTGGAAGTGTGCTCATTTTTGGTATGGGCTCATTTTATGTGCTTGTTCAGACCATCCTTTCCTACCTAATGCAGCCCAAAATTCATGGTAAACAAATCTTCTGGATCAGACTGCTGTTGCTCATCTGGTGTGGAGTAAGTGTACTTAGCATGTTAACTTGCTCATCAGTTTTGTACAGTGGTGACTTTGGCACAGATACAGTACAAAAACTTCACTGGAACCCTGAGGAGAAGGGTTATGTGCTTCATATGGTCACTACTGCAGCAGAGTGGTCTGTCATTTTCCTTCTTTGGTTTTTTCTTGACTTAGAATCATGATTTTCAGAAAATTTCTTTATGTGTGGAAGCTGGTTTACATGGAATAACCCTCTATGACACTGCTCCTTGCCCTGTTATCAATGAACGAACGCAACTACTTTCCAGAGAATTTTAATGAAAGGATAAAAGGTTCCTTTGATGTTTATGATTCTCAGGGAAAGGGGAAAAGTTCACAAACACTGTTTATTATACTCTGAAATTTTCAGCCAGTTAATCAAAGCTATGTGACACTGATGCATATTGATAATCAGGAGATATAAAGCCATTTGATAGTTATTTTAAAGGATATCATTTAAAAATATTTATGCCTATACTTTTTATCCTAGAAAATAAAACCAAAGGACTGCAACATTATAATTTTTTTCTACTTTAAGAGAAACAACCTGAAGTGTACAGTCTATATATCCCAGCCTTTCACAATTTATAAGTCATTGTTAAAGCATGTTTTCATAGGAATGCTTTCATAAAAGACATTTTCTATTACCAAAAAATAAAAACTTTTAAATCAACAGGAAAGTTGCAAGAATAGTATAATAAATATCACTATACCTGTTTACTTAGATTCACGAATTATAACTATTTTATCACATTTGCTTTCTGACTTATGTGTATTTTATATATGTATTTATGTTTATATAATAGCAATAACAATTATTTGTTGAGCCATTTGTAAGTCACTTCGCTCCTCTTCACTCCTCAATACTTCAGCATGTATCTCTGAAGAACACATCTTTTCTTATGTAACCGTAACATGAGTAAATTCAGAATATTTTTTA